AAGGTAATAATACAAAGATAATTTTTTATAATATTTTTATATAACTTTTATATATATCATTAAATAAGTAAATATACTTAATATAAATTCTAAATGAATAAAAAAATTAATAATTTAAATTACACGTAAACTTGTACAAAATGTTTTTAAAAAAAATTATCTCTCCTAGTTAGTTAACTAATTAGATAAAAAAATACAGTTGTTTATAGACAAACTAACCATCAATAGTTAATAAGCTATTTGTTAAATTAACTGTAATACCAAACAGGATTTTGTTTAATATCAACATAATTCATTGAGAAAGACATTTCAAAATGATATTCATTCAGAATCTCGCACACAAAACTTCTGTACCAAACTGAAAACGATGCTGAATATTCCTGCAAGATAACATATTACATATTTACCATGTAAAATGTAAACTGGCCAACAGCTCTGCTTGTATTCTTCAAAAGTTCCATTGAGCTTTTGCTTGCAAACTTATTCCAATGATAGACATGTTTCCGGTTGACAGTATCTCTAGGCCACAGTGTTCTCAGTCACCCCATTGACACGCTCATGCTTGTCAAGCTGGCTGAAGTTACCCTTTTGCTTGAAGAGTTGATTGTGGTGATGTCTGCAGTAGAGACGTTGCTCATGGGTTACATAGTTTGACAGGCTAATCACACAGCCCCCATGGCTGCACCTGAAACAGGCCTTGTGGTAAGGCACACCATCAACTTGCACCTAAGAATAGAAGAAAATTGGGGTATAAGGACTATCAGATTTGAACCATCAAAGAGACGGTGAATTTTATATAGATATATCAAGAGAGACTTCATGGACAGATTTTACATTTTGGAATCTAGTATTAGGTATTAAATTTTAAGTCCCAATGCTGGGCTTAGAAATGAGTAAAGGGAGTAACCATGATGGATAGGATAGATGTTCAAATTGAAAAGATTCAATTTAGAAATGGCAAGCAGGCTTCTAACTTATTTTGGTTGAAGCAAGCAGGCTACTTATAGGGTTTCCATCTTATCTGTTTTTAATGTTCTTGTATAGTCTTCAGTAGTCTATTATTTTGTCTGCCTATACCCGTTTTTAACTTGTTCTTGCTAGACCATTAAAATATCCAATTCACTTCTTGGATCACTTGATTCTGATCTTTACAAGTTTTTCTTGAACATATTAACCATAAGAATGGCTTTTTCTTCGTTTCCAAATTCATTTCAAATAGTTTTCAATATACATTATCAAGGAACAAACCAAACTCTTCCCTAATTCAAGAGAAAATAAAACAAGAAGAAAATGATTAAATGCATCCTGCAAAGCATATCAACAGTCATAGAAAATAGCAAATGTTACCTTTTCAATTGGATAAACAGTTTTCTTACATGCAACACATTTTTCTTGAGTTCCAGCAAACATGCTTAAAACTCTACTGTTGGTGACCTGCAGAATTGACATATAATCAATCATGACAAGAAACAAGTAGACTTAATGCTCAAGCAATTTTGTCCCAAAGATCAGCTATTAATTACTCAAAACAAGTCCTAAACATAATCTATATGAATTGAGATTTGAGAAAAGGATGCTGAGGGTTAACAGAGTAGGATACCTGGTCTGCTGATCTGTCAACCCTAACAGTTTTTGGAGCTCCTATAAAAGGGAAATCCAAGAAATGAAAAACCATAAATAGGCTTGAAAAAGTAACATATGTCAGGATAGCTAAATGCACTAAAAAAATCGAGGATATATAGCCAGGCACCTTCAAAACTTTTATCCAAGCTGCCAGTCCTCTTAAACAGTTGATCAAAGTGAGGTTTGCAATATAAAACACCCTCAAATGAGCAATAGTTGCTTAGCTGCAAATTTGTATAAAAAGATGAGAGACAAAGATAAATCAGATGACAAGTTATCAGGCAAAAGGACCATACTTGTTTCTACGCAACAAATGAGGAGAGAACAATACTTGTCTCTTTCATAATGAATTAAATAATGCAGCAACCAGGGGAGACAGGGAAAATCTTAAAGGATTTGACATAGTATACTGCCAATTATAGATTTCAAGTGACTCGTTAAAAAGCATAGATGATACAAACATTAATGTTTAAGTATTAATAGATCAGCTCCTGTTTTGATTTTTCAATCATAAGTAGCTTCTAATCACTAAGAACTGCATTGCCAGTTTGTCAACATCCACTGTGGAGCCAGAATTACTTATATGCAAACAAGATATGGATCTAGAGCAGTGTCCTTTGTTCTCTGATAAGCTCTTTCAGAATATGCCATAATGTTGATTATACTGGCAACATACTTAACTCTCCAAATTTAGACGACAATTTAAAGTAACTACTATGACTATTTGGTCATTATCTTATATATTCTTTTTTTTTTTTTTCCTTTTTAACATAACTTTTTGATCGCATAAATAACAGGAGATTTCTATTTATCATCACTCATTCCTAATTTTTTTCTGGTTTGCTTTAAAATCTCATAATTGTTCCATTCTTCATAAAAGCTCTCTCTCTTGAACCCATATGATCAGAAGCAATAAATGTATAGCAAATCTTAAGAATCTCATTTTATTTCTGATAAGCATTACTTGTTAGCAATAAGCATGTATATCTGGTAAAAAAAAAAATTCCTATACTCCTACAGACCAACAAAGCAACATTTTTCCCGCAGGAAATTGACCAGATCTTAAAGCTAAATCACCAAGTTTTCAGGCTGCATCATTCACTCATTGACACAACAAGCACTAGGAATTGTCCTGATATTAAAGATAAACAAGTTCCGCTTGGATAAATAAAACCACGAAAGTCTCTGATATTGAAGAACAATAAAGATCAACATTCACAAGATGACGATTCATTAACAAGTTCCTAGTCAATGAAACTGGCATATCATCAAACATCAGGAAGACAAAAGATTAAAGTCCAAATTTGCAAGGACCCTTATATGACATCATCCAATAAAATTCATGCAATCAATACAAAGCTACTGTCCATAACAAAAGCTTCAAATCTTCAAACATGGATCATCATCAAATCAACACAAAAGAATCCAAAATCATATACCCACAACTAAAACTAACAAACCAACCCATAATTGACAACAAGAGCAGATGATCAAATTAAAACGATGAAGTGAAGAGACTTTGTAATCACCTTGAGGGTACCCTTGCAATGGTGACATCTGAAACAGGCCTTATGATACACTTTGTTATCAGCAGTAAGCTCTTCAACGAAGTAGACAGTTTTCTCACAAGCCTTGCACTTTTGGGTTGTCCCTCCAAAAGTTGCCATCTTGCTCTCTCTCAATCTCAGATCCTCCAAACCCACAACAACCACAGCAGAAATTGAGAAACTTAGTTGATGTTTCTGGAAGAACTGAGAAACTTTGTTGATGCTAAGCTTTTCAAGAGTTTGTCTTTCTTTAAAGAAAACTTCAAAATTCTTGCGTCTGCAAAGTACAGCTCAGACTCAGAGAGAGTGGAGTTGGGTCAGTTGGGTGCTGGCTGCTGAGGCGGAGCCGCGTAGACTTTTGGACCAACTACGGATGGTAGCTCGTAGCTGTTCACATTTGGGGTACTTGTGTAATTTCGTCTTGGTTTGATGGTTGCTAAATTACGTAAGCGTCCCCAAGTGGGACAGGTGTCATTCTCCGCTTGCTTCAGGCAAAAACGGAAACCTATTTTAGAGCGCAGATTTGGACATGCCGCAGTTTTTTCGAATTGGGGAAGTCTTCCATAACTCTCTCACATGGCGCGTGAGTCACTTCTACAGAGACTTAAGTTAAATGCTAATTTTGGTCCCTCAACTTTATGATGTTTCCATTTTTCGATCCTTCGACTATTTTTTGTACTTTTTTTATCCTTCAACTCTAAAAATTGCATAATTTTGATCATTCTGTTAGTTAAGTATGATATGACTATTAAATAATTCCATGTGATATTTTCTTTTAATTCTTTTGATGCTGTGGCAATAACATCTATTATAATTTTGTTACATGGACAAATAAAAATATCACATTAAAAGAATATTTATATTTTAATAAAAAGAAACAGAAACAAACAAAATTACGTTAGGTTAAATACTCTTTTTGGTCCCTATACTATTGAAAAAAGCTCATTTTCGGTCCTTGTACTGAAAAAATCCCCCTTTTGATCCTTAAATTTTAAAATCCCACCTCTTTTTGGTCCTTTCATTAAATTTTTTCCTATTTGGCACATTAATTAACAGAATCCCTTGATTATTTTTTATATAAATAATATAATAAATTATGTAAAAATTACGTGTACAAAATTATAATCAATGTAAATATTTCATCTAAATATTTTAGCTACATGTATAAATTAAAACTTTTATTTATTAATTAATTAATTAAATGAGTTTAATTAGCTTTAATTTCTTCATCTTCCTCTTTCCTGATCTTCTTTCTCCTCATCCTTATCCTCGGCCTTATCCTCATCCTCGGCATCATGGCATCATGTAATCACCATCCTCTTCCCCTCTTTTTCATCATCCTGTTTTCCTCAAGGAACCCAGATCTGGGTTCCGCGTGGAACCTAGGTCTGGATTCTGACCCTCTTTCTTTCTTTCTTTCTTTTTTTTTTTTTCTTTTTTCATTTTGAATGTATCTATATTCCATAATGGAGCCAAATGAAAATTTTGAATTAGAGAAGTTAAGTTCTGGGTTGATTACGAAACCCAAATTGTGTTTGATATGTGGCTTTGAAATTGTAGGGGATAGATTCATATTGTTGTGTTCATGTTGCTTTGAACTTCATAACTTGATTCATTCATTACCTAGGTTTAACAGGAAAAAAATGTTGAAAATCTGTAAAGAGAAGGATTGTTTTGCAAAGAAGAAGTTAAGATTGACAATATTAATAAATCACTTTAATTAATTTTTATTTTTACTAATGAAAATGGTTTTATGAAAATAATTTTATGAATTCCCAATTATATCTTAACTAATCTCACGTGTAAAGAGTTGATTATGAATGAAAAACAAGACTTTTGAAAGAAAGAAGATATCTAAAGAGGAATCTAAAAGAAATGGGAAAAACAAAGAAAGGAAAATTGCAAAATGTGGGTCCCATCAGTTAAGTTTTTTCTTTTTTCACGTGAAGAGAGTGACATGGAGGGGTATATTAAGTCCACATAAGCATTTTTGCATAGTGGAATATCCACATCAGCAGTTGTCGTTAAGATAACTTACCACATGAGTAAATATTAATGGAGGGACTAAAAAGGGGTTGGATTTTAAAATTTAAGGATCAAAAAGTGGCTTTTTTTAATAGTAGAGGGATCAAAAAGGGTATTTAACCATTATGTTATTACCCTCACCCTCTCGATCCATCTTCTTCCCTTTCTTTCTTTCTTTCTCTTTCTTTCTTTCCTACCTCTGGGTTGGTGGAACAGAATTCAACCATCGAACCCAAATCTGCTAGGTACAGCAAAACCTAGCTCTGTGGTGTTCATCGAAACCCAGATCTATTGGGTTTCGTCAAACCCAACTGTTGGGTTTAGAGCTAGGTTTTGTTGACTTCCATTTTTCTTTAGAGTTAGGTTTGTCAAGTTCATTATGTTTTTTCATTCTTCTTTCGATTTCCATTCTGAGTTCTTGATAAATTTGGAAGTTGATTTACAATTCGATTGCATTTTTGTTGGAATTCGATTAGAGTTTGATTGACATTGTTTATTAAGGGGCTAATTTGATTTGATGAGATCTATTGGGTTCATCAAAACCAGCAAGTGGGTTCAACGAAACGTAGTAGCTGGGTTAGATGACATAAAACCCAAATTCTACTAGGTTCAATCTCAACTGGAACAAAATGAAGAAGAAGATAGATTGAGGAAGAAGGTTCCATTGAGAAAAGAGAAGAAGAAGATATTGGTTAAGATCAATGTTGTAGATGGAGTGGAGATGAGAGAGCATTCTAGGGTTTACATATATTTTATCCCTTTATTTAATCTTTCTAGTGCAATGTGGGACCCATTTGAAGGGCATTTTGGAGTGTTTGATTCACAAGAATATGACATGGTATAAATTTTGTTTATTTCAACATCTTTTTTAAGTTGTATCATCCATATCATTAGAAAAATATAAAAAATGCCATGTGGACAAAGTTAATAGCCCAAATTGACGAAATGATCAAAATTATGCAGTTTTTAGAGTTAAGGGATAAAAAAAAGTGCAAAAAATAGTTGAAGGATAAAAAATGTAACATCATAAAGTTAAGGGACTAAAATTGATCTTTAACCTTTTTTTTGGTGATTTCAATTCATAAAGGTTAAATCCCATTTTGGTTCCTCTACTTTAGTAAAAGGCCTCTTTATAATCACTCTCTGTAATCTCTCTACTTAAAAAACCTCCTTTTTGGTCTTTAAATTTTGAAAATTAATCTTTTCTAATCATTTTGTTAAATTTTTACACATATGATGTGTTAGATGATGAAAATTTCAAAGTAAAGAAATCAAATTAGGTTTTAACCATTCAAAAAACATTTCTTCCAAAATTAAAATTCAAAAAACATGAGTACATTTTTTTAAAAGTTTATCTTTCTGTTAAGCCTAATTATTTAAGATATTTGTATTTAATTTTATTCATACACAAGCGTATACCTTTTATCATATTTTAATTATAAATATT